GACGCCTATATGTATAAAAAAAACTTAAGGGGAAAAACCGGTTCATATATTAAGTAATTTTTCGGAGTCTCTCGTTTCTGAACCCAAAATTAGATATCGTGTGAGAAATAGCTTTAATAGAAATTTTGGTTCACAAATACACATATTCTTTACAAAAATCTACTTAAACTGACAGTTCATATGTTAGGATAAATAATAATAATTTTTCATTTTTCTTTAGTTTCTCGTAAATTTTGAACACTTTTATGAAACAATTTTAATTTATATTAATCATGTTGATTATTTTTGTCAATATACAGTAAGTTTAGTATAGTTTAAGTTACTTGGTACGCTGAACAGGTTTTCACAGAACGTATTCTAGTAACTAATTTTTAATTAAATATTTAATAATTTTTAATTATCATTTAAATTTAATACTTATATATCGAGAGTCTACACATTAATGAAGCAAATAATTTGTTGTACCATTTCTAATTTATTCATTAGTGTCATTATATTAATATCAACGATATGACAATTAATAACTATACTATTTTTAGATAAATAATACTGTATTTAGATAAATATTTCATGGTATAGAAAAATTATTCGAGTTATAAGCTAGCATATTTTTAAATTTGAATTTAGAGATATTTTCACAATGTTAATTTTAATTATTATGTTTATATCGGTACTTGTATTATAAGGTACAAAACAATAATATAGTAATTACAATATATTAATACCTTTTTACTTCAAGTCTATTGATTTACTCATTTATAACTTACCTGTTTGAACACATCAAGGGAAAATTATCTGAATTATAATAACAAAGGTATTAGCATACCTTCTCTTACTTTCATAATTATTTATCAATTAATAATTAACAATTAAACAAAGTTTTTATTTAAATCTTTTCATAAAAACAAGTATTCATAATAGAGATCATAGAAAATAACAATAATTATTACGGCAAGCCGTTTGCTATCGAATGAGTAATTGAACACAATTTAATGGAAAAATGTTATAAAACTTAAAACATTCATGAAATGCTTACATATGAGACCAAAATCTTTATAACTATTATACAATTAAAACCAATTTCCATTATAAAGACATTTGGTTTAAAAATAATAATAAAAACAACTCATAACAGATTAGAAAAATTTACAAAAATGATTTCAAATAATATCGACGTTGGAAACAATAAAAGTTGCCCATATCAACTGTATTAACAATTATAAATGTGTATCAAAATCAAAATCCAAGTTTAAATATACCGAAAACAATACAATATTAAAAACAAATAGTTAACGGTAACCTGTGTATAAAGTATAGAGTTTTGCATACATTTGTGTCCAATTAGGGCAACCCTTAACTTAAGGTGATTGAAACGATACACGTATTGTAATTAAATCAATAAACAATCAATATTAAGACTAAACTGTACAGTATTAAACGTATTTAAATTATTGCGTTAAACAAAAGTAAAATTCGTATTTTAAAAGCACAAATTGATAATTAAATAAAAATTTAAATGCTTCAAACAGCATTTAATGGCTGATGATTAGTATGGTATGAAATATACTGTAAATATTTGGCTTAAATGGACTAAAAGTTATATATTGACAGCCATTTCAGTAAATAGTTGTCAATCGCTGTCGAACTGTCCCTCATCTACGGTCCAGTGCTTACGGTCGGGCCGTCCGATGCGCTTCGGGTGATCCTTATGCGGCACAAAGTGTTTGAAGAACTCGACGGGCGTATGAATGCGCTGACTGGACGGGTAGGCTAATGGTTCGTTCACTAGAAACACAATCAAACATCAAAGCAAATGAAACAATAATAAAATAATCATAAGATTCAATAAAACTCTTGAGATGTGAACAGAGTTTTCGTTGAAAACAATTTCGACAAAAGGGCTCATAATTTATATATAAAAGCTATGAATCCTTAGTAAAAGTGCGACAAAAAGAACAAAAAAATCAAAACTCAATAACATTTAAACACTTGAGAAACACGAGAGAGAAAGAGAGAGAGAGAGAGAGAGAGAGAGAGAGAGAGAGACCAATACTAATGGCGAGAAAATACTATATGTAATCCAATTTATAAATAGTTTTAACTAAATATTCACAAAAACTCTGTACATAACTCTCTAATTCACTGTTTTTTAATTCATTAAAAACAAAGCGGTCTTTATAACACGAAAATGGCTAACTTACCTGTGAATACAAACTAACACAGTACTTTCAACACATTTATTTGAAGTTCAAAACTATACAGAGTATACACTATTAACTGTAAGTAAAAGTGGTATTACTGTTATCTTATAGGGTTATATTTCTATACCTGTAAACCTATTTACGCTATAAATTTATAAATCATGTGAAACTTACATAAAATTTGTAAACAATTTTTTATAATGATTACTAAAATGTTACATAAATTAAAAGTGAGAGAATTTAAACAAATCATATGATATTCATTTGGTAATCCACACCACCGGGAAAGGCGTGTCCAGGACTGCAATGGTAACACCATTTCACATGTAATGGAAAGGGATGAATGGTGACCGTAATTTGCATTTACTAGTTATACCTTATGTGTCAAACGTGGGGTATATTCTCAAACATATGGTGCCATAGATTCTAGTTTTAATTAACTTAATTATAGAGGTTTGGAGGTATAGGTAGAGGTCTACTAGACTGCATTTAACCAAATAGTCAGACCATATAATTGTTTGATTGGGTTATAGTGAACACAAGAGGGGAACAGTATCCGGAAGTATCTCAAACTCATGAGAATAGAATAGATTTCGGAATTAGATACCTAATTTGTGTTATGCTCTAATTATTGAGTAAGTATTATCGTTTACTGTTGTTTATAGTATAGTAACTTACGTACCTGTCCCTACACCAGAATGAGTAAGGCTTCTTGGGGTCAAACACCTCGCAATCCCAGCCGTCGCAGTCATCGGTGGTGTTGTCGGCGACGGTGGCGTTGACAGCGTTCACGTCTTTGCGGACCAACTGATCATCACATGTCGTACTCAACGAACAATAGCCGGANGCTTCTTGGGGTCAAACACCTCGCAATCCCAGCCGTCGCAGTCATCGGTGGTGTTGTCGGCGACGGTGGCGTTGACAGCGTTCACGTCTTTGCGGACCAACTGATCATCACATGTCGTACTCAACGAACAATAGCCGGACGAGTGTTGCGAGGAATGGGGGGACGACTGGTCCGACATCTGCTCGTCGTCCTCATCGGCCCACCGGACGGTCATCTGTGAGGACACAGCCGTGTCTTCGGCGCCACAAACGGATTGGCAGTTCAGGCGACAGTCGTCCTCCTCCTCCGAGTCCAGCGACGTGTCAATGGATGTGCTCTCCAGTGACCGACACTCGCACTCATCCAACACGTCGTCCATCACGTGCTTCTGCGGTGACACAATCGGTGGCTGTAGTGTCTCATCCATAGACTGATCCATAGTCTGATCCATTGGGAGGTCTTGTATTGAACCCTCGATTTTGTGGCAAAACTTTTTGAATCCAAAAACTCAACTATTTTTTTGGGCCAATCGTTGCGTTCATTCATACAATACGTCCGATCATTGCTTTCAATGGAGAGACACTTGTGTGGAAAAAACTTGTCTTTCATATGATAGTACTTGTAATTAATTTGTATGATCAGGGTGACACTAGAAACAGATTTTAAAATATGCTACAATATATAGTCTATCGTCAAAATATTTGTTCAATAAATTAACATTCGTTTTGAAAATGTGTTGATATTTATGAATGAGTTATATGTGTAAAGAGTGGTTTTGTAAGCAAATACCGTTACATTAATTTACTCCAAAGGGGATTATAGGTCAACAGCCCCTCAATGCTAAAAATATAGTGCAACTCCTGAACATTTAGTATTTTACACCCACCGCCCGTATTATGGTACTGTTGTTACTACACAGACAGTTAAGCCAAATTCAATGCCAAACGCAATGTTTTGAATGTAGAGTACAGTGTAGTCGCGAAATGCAGTCAATTGAGTTTCATACAGGAATACATGTTTCGCGAATCGATGTTTACAAATGTTCATATTATAAACACTGAACACTGTATTAATATGCGAGAAAGGATTGCAAATTGCAATCAAAAGCCAATCATATATTCACAGCCATAGCAAAGCACTGGCAGTCCTTAGACATAGCCAGCACTTCCCATACGCTAAGCGTGTATTCAATGGCTTTGTTGCGAATCACATAAATAGTCACCAAAACTGATGTGTCTTTCAGTGAATGGTTTGCATCAGTGATGAGACACTTCTTTGTGCAAAAGTCTTCGTGTATTTCGTGTACACTATCTGTGCGTAAAAAAGGACTCCGATTACTGGCATAGAGTGTGTGCTATTGACTGCCAATGAATTGATTATAACTTTAAAGTGCTATTCATTTGCACAAAACATATCCAAACGTATGGTTTCACACCATTGATGACCACTATATGAGACACCAACTGATCACCCATTCATCGGTTCCAGACATTCATTGCGCGCAAACTTTTTGGATGTCTTTTTAATTGCATTTTATTGATTAGTTTTTAAGTAATTTGTTTGTATATTGAAACCAATTTGTGGGTCACTTATGATGGAGTCCTCATCGGTAAGCCATTGTCTCATGTGTTGTGTTATTGTCTCAATACTCATGTCTGTGAACTGATCCCTTAGAGCGAAGAGTTGTCCCAATCGTTGAGTGGCAGTCAATATGACGCTCAGAACGCGTCCGATGAGTGGACTATACTATCAGATAATGACGATATGGATGATCAGCACATGGATGTCGATGGCGAACATGACTCCGACGATGACAATCGCAGACCACTGGCTGCCACGGCTCCAGAGGTTTGTCGCCATTGAGTGCTATTTTATTTTGAAGTTTTTGTTTTATCCTATAAAATGCTTTTATGACTAAAATATTATGCAATCATTTGATATGACAGTGAAATCAGTTATGAATATTTATTATAAACATATATAAAACATATATTTATTATAGTATTTCATTAATTAATAATTTATAAGTTAGTCAATAATATACAGTAAAATATAGATGAGTACACTATTAGTGAAACCAATACTTAATATAATGGGTTTATTTTTAATACGAATTTTATTCATAATATGTTTGCTTTGTTTTGTTCACTAATTTATTGCTTTTAACAATAAAAACATATTTTTATTTTTGAGGCTATTTTGAGCGGACAAAAAGTGCTGAAAAATTGTTTTTGTCTTAAAATCGCACAAATGTTATGTTATTTTTTTTATTGGGAATAATACATATGTTTTTTGAAACAAAATACTGTAATTACCGTATTTTTGCTAATTTTTTTGTTTGGTTTCGTTTAACGCCTTATTTGTGAGTTAAAACCACTTTGTTTTGTCGCACATTGTTTTAAATCTGTTTGTTTTAATTTACATTGAATTGACAGTGAATTGAATTGCAATGAAGTTTCTCAAAGGCATATGAATTGTGCGATAAATGAAGTTTGAGTTCATTATAATTGAGATGATTTTTGTTGTTTCACTAATTGTTTAGTAATAGTGTTTGGGATTCAATGAAATATCGATTAGATAATGATTAGCATTCTGTGTGTGGTTTTGATGTTTGGACCACAATATGACAGACACGTGATGGACACACCAGTCGAGTGGTTAGGTGCCTATAGGTAGGACTGGTGGGTCGGGTGGCGACGAGTGGTGTGTCATATCTGCCATTAACTGGATTGGTGTTTGCTGTGGAGGGCTCGGTGTCGACCAGTTATTGTACTCTTAGTTATTGAACGGTTCATATGGTGTACTCAGAACTCAATTGTCAATACCTACCAGTGCTATCTTACTAACTGTCACTCCTTTCAATAGGATATTATTATCTTAAGAGCTATTATTGGATTCACTGATACCGTGGGTTGATAGGGAAGTACTGGCATTCCAGTGATAACATAATAATCTAATAAAACAATTGCTTTTACAATATTTGTCACTATAAATAAAATACTCAAATCTTGGTTTCACTGTTTGATTGTCTCTTATTTGAAAGCAAATAGGGATTAGATATGATATGAAAAATGGTTTTATTAATTGAATAATCTCTGTGACGACCACTTGAACTATGCTTTTCCTCATCTCTCTCTCTCTCTCTCTCTCTCTCTCTCTCTCTCTCTCTACACTTTTTCACTTGACTTTGTTTAATAGATTTATTGTAAGAATTTCCCTGATTTTGATATTATATTAGTTGTTTTGGGGGCCTTTCTAAGACCAGAGGCCATATAAATAAAGGCTTTTTAAAAATATTTTCCTTGTTTTTCAAATGAGATTTGTTTCAATGTTTGGTTATTTCAAAATCGGTACTGAAATCAAACGTTTGACTTTTATTCTTGTCGTTACTTTCGGTAAAAGTTGTCAGAAAAGCATTTTCTTATCGTATACATGATTACAGTTATATTGTACGTGTATTACCGATATTTGTAATATTAAATAATCTTATGTTTTATATTGACTTAACATTGATATTGTTTTAGGAAATGATACCTGATACGTTATCATTCAGTTCACAATTCTGTGTAGTGAAGTAACTTGCATGTTACTTCATATTACAGTACAATATTAAGTATTTTTCATATCTAGAATTTATTTTTATTTTAATACTTTAAAATTCAATGTTAATATAATATAATTCACTCTTAATTATCAATTAATCTCAAATTGAATGTCATTTTATTTAATTAATGTAAATTTATGAAATATTTAAGACTTTTCTATTGCTATCAGACATACCAACAGTTTTTTGCTTTTTTACATAACTTTTTAATTTTTATCAAATATGTTTTACTCAAATTGTATACAATTAATCTAAAACCTGAAATATTTTTTCTGTTGAAAAGTGGGCCAGCTAAGTGTTGCGTTCATACAATTTTTGCTATACTGTATAAACTACCTTTTATTTTATTGCACCCTAAACTTGATTTTTTATTAGTTTTAAGTAGTTTATAGTTTTAGTTTTTAAAATACTTTCTCTCATTAATTATTTGTTATGATTTTGCAATAAATTAGAAAACAATTTTATTGAAAAAATATTACAATGCAATAGCATTAACATTGAAATAAAGAATATTCTTGAATTCATTTCATATCAGTAAATGAGGGAATAAATAGATAATTTATGTTACATTAGAATTTGTATTGAAATGCTTTTTATGTGCAAATTATAGGACAAAACAACGACAGAAGAGATCGATAATGAATGCAATCACAAGAATGAGCTCCAAGTCAATGGTAATCCCGTGGAATCACTGGATGAACAACAGATGCCCGACACGACCAGTGATATTGATGTCATAGATGAGGATGATCTGGACAGCAGTGATGACGAACTGTCCACTGCCTCCCTGTGCTCGTCGTCGGTGGTCTCGCAGACGTCTAACCTGTCGTTCCTAAGGGATCAGTATCTGCGGCAACAGCTGCTGAGTCCGGACTTCGCCACAGAAGACCTGTCGGAGTCGTCTAGTCTGAACTATCGAGAGCTGGGATCGGAAGTGGAGCTCAAGAGGGGAACGAGAGCCTACGTGCACACACCCAACACCGGTCTGAACGGCAAACTGAATCTCATACTCATATTGTCTGTGAGTACAGTCGTGGGACTGGGGATCGGGAACTTCATCGGCTGGTCGAACCACTGGAACAAACACAAGCAGCTGTCGTTGGGTCAGGTCCTCAAACTGAAGCAATTGCAGGACGAGCTCGTGGTCTGTATGCAAGATCAGGCCAATAAGGGCACCGATCAATCCATCAAATCTATACTTCATTCGTCTTTGTCTGGCAGTCGGTCTCTCGAACTCATAATCGGTTCCCAACTTTGATTTCTTGGGTCTCTTTAGAAACCAATTCACGTCCTCTTCGTGTTCGGCATCGCTATCGACACCACTGTCCACCGCCTCCTCCCTATCACTCGACTCATCCGCGTCCGAGTCCTCATCCAAAGTCACATGTCTTGAGTAGGCGTTTACCCGTACCTTACGATCAAACTCTACAGTTCTAGCCGTATGAGTGGTACTTCCGAAGCCCGGGCCGTACACGTGTTGTTTGCGCCGATTGTTCGCTCTCCGAAAAAACCAATTAATCTTCGGCTCAAACTCTTCGTCGCCCTTAGTATCACGTGACGAGTGCTGGTCCTCGGAAGCGGTCGACGCGTCCTTTGAATAGCGTTTCGACAGTTTATTCAACAACTGATTCCACTTGTCGTCCATTTTGTTAATCAGTCGAGACATGTGGACAGTAAACTCATCGACTTTCGAGCGCATTGTCTTCTCTTTGGCCAACAGCTTATTCTTCGCGTCGTGTAGTTTACGAATGGTCTGTGCGTAGAGTCGGGACATCTTATTGGATATCTTTTCGTTGCCCGAAGCGAACACTGTCTTCAGGTCTTGCAGTTCCTGCCATTTATTCTGCAGTCGACGGTTCAGATCAATGATCACTGTTTGCGTCATATTTAATCCACTGAACACTTCCAGCGGTATAATCGACTCGTTATCACTCATCAGTCTATCGTATAGTCCTTTAAGTTTATGGGAGACAACGGACGAGCCCTTATGGAGCGCCTCCCGGAACAGATTCGTTGAGTTTAATACCCAATCATAGATCACATTATCCTCAATGATGTCTTCATCATCGATAGTGTCATCCATTTTATCTGACGATGGTTTCTGTGGTTTATTGTCTTGATTTTGATTGATATTGTCATCGGCGGTGGTCTTCAGATTCTCATACATTTCGCGCCATTTCTTTGCCTCCATCTGCTCTGTATTCAAACGATCGCGCAATTCATTTAACTGTCTCTCCAACTCTTCAGACGACTCTTGAATGTTATCAATCTCTTCCACCTCTTCGTCAGCAATATATTCATCGATCACTTGATCCGAGTCTTCAGTTTCAATCGTGTCGTGTGATGTCCATCGAAGGCGAGCTATCGTAGACTTTAACTCGTCGTTTTCGATCACCATTTGATTAATCCGTTGCTTTAATAAATCAAGTTTTACGGGAACCTTAAGGTTAGCGGCGCCGGCAGTCGTACTCTTATCCTCAGCATAAGAATAGCTCTTCGCCGACGAATCGATGTCACTGGGAGTGTGCACCACATTAACCACCTGTGCCTCCAATTGATAAATCGCTGCTTTTAGCTCTTGATTCTCAGCCAACAGCTCAACGATCCGGTCGTTCAGGCGTTGCATAACCTCTTCGTCTTCCTCTTCGTCCTCTTCGAATCGTATCTTCAATTCCTGGTTCTCCGCCTCGAGGAGAGCCACACGACTGCCCCACGACTGCACTATTACCTCATCGTCCTCTTCCTCCTCCACTAACTTCATCTTCAATTCGCTGTTTTCCACCTCCAAGTCCTTCACCCGCTTCTCCGACTGCTGGCCCTTATATTTAACCTCTTCTAAGGTCTTCAGGAGCTGTTGGTTAAAAGAAATCATTAGATTATAAACCAAAACACAACGGATCAGGAACCCCTACACTGTATGCACGTTCACGAGGTAGACTAACTGGTCTTTAGGCTCAAAGTTAAATACTTTGAGAAGCCTGCGCGAGAATAATAGCGTGAGAAACAGACGCTAATATAAGAACTCCAGAGGTACGGAGTGGTAGTGCTGTTGAGTGCGTTGAAGAGCGTCTAACAGCCCTTTATTCTCTGAAAACAATGTCTCAAACTTTCCTCTAAAGTAGTCGTTATCCGTATAACAAACCTAAACGCAAAACACAATTACATATAAAACTCACAACAAAAACAATGGACACATACGTGAGGTGACTGTCCATTGGTGATGGATTGATCGGTGCCCTTATTGGCCTGATCTTGCATACAGACCACGAGCTCGTCCTGCAATTGCTTCAGTTTGAGGACCTGACCCAACGACAGCTGCTTGTGTTTGTTCCAGTGGTTCGACCA